AGAAGAGACTATTGGTGTACTTGACGTTATAGCTAAATAGAGAGGAAATCATATTCACATATAAAACAAATTAGTTTATTCTTAAGAATGGATATGTGGCAGTTGTCAGTCCTGGAGATGGGTGCGGGAGCGGTTGGCTATGGGTGAGTGTGAAAAGGATAGTACCCGCACTCACCACACCCACACACACGTCCCTAGTCAGTCCCTTTTTTCGGGAATTGAGTCGAATGCCTCATCATTTGTCTATGTAAAATGAATTTCGTGGCACATTATTCGCACATAAACTAGATTCAACTGAGTCGGATTCAGTTTAGTTTGGAACTTATTGAAAATAAATCATCTCGAATCTGCGTATCGAGAAGCATCGGCACATATGTAGATATATATATAAATCTGTTAGCGCAATCCCTACGAAGATAAAAATGTGAAAGACAATCAAGATACTTACATCCATTGTAGACAAGAGTTTTATATAACATCTATTATATATGTCACATTTCACTCATCCAAATTTCTACTCCTACTTATTTCAATACCCTTTTTAGTTCCTTGTGTCATACTGCGTTGATCATCATTTCTAGTCCTTTCGTATGAACTGTATTTAGTTATTTTTTAAGTGATGATCAAGCAAATCAGCTTAATTTTTTGATTGAAAATTGTTATTCGTCTACTTGAGAATCCAAAGAGATTTACAGAAACTAATATTCTTGCTGCCGAATGACTTCTTTTTTGATATAAAAATATTCAATTATTCACAACTAAAATATATACAAATCATACAAAGCGGCTCAAGTAGTATAGAAAACGATGGCTCCCTTCTGTCAAAAAGTGACTCACTTTTTGGAAGGACGGATTACGGCTAGAACTAGTATAGTAAAATACTATTTCATAGTCATTTATGATGCCATTGCCTATACTTGGAATGATTATTTACCTTCTATGGGCGTTATTGTTGTATCTGTTATCCAAACACCTGGTATGTCTGTACAGTAGCGATAATCGCAGCCTGGAGGTGCGCCTAACTGATAAACATAATAAGATCCACAATTAGTCACACTAATACTGTTGCTAAAACTGCAATTGCCAGATACCCATGTGTAGCATACAGTTCCATTTGTAGTTGTATCCACGCTGATGGGCATTTGCCCTGAGTACCAACCTGGTACGTTAGTACCACATCGATAGGGTGCAACTGGGATTGTAGGTATTTGTGTACCACCTACGCCAACAAAACGAACCCACATTGCACCAGAGCTGAACAAACTGTTATCACACGTAGCACCAGCGGTTACATTCACGCTTCTTGTAGGATCATTAATCAGTGTGTAATTGTAACACTGAGGAGAGACTATTGATGTGTGTGATGTTGTTGCTAAACAGAAAAGAAAAAGCATTCAGATATTAAAAAAAATTAGTCTGTTATTAAGAATAGACATGTGGCGGTTGTCCGTCCCTTTTTTCGAGAACTGAATTCAATGATCTGTTCTTTTCTTATATACAATTGATTGCACAAACAGTTCTTTCACTCAAACTGTCTACAGTTCTTTTTTAAAATAACCGAGATATAGTTGCCGTTCCTTTCATAAGAACTAGCCAGTAGCTTGATCAAAAACTGTCATGCGTTTAGTGATATTTGAATATTATAAAGATTATTACTATTCATTTAATATTGTTAATTCGGAAAAAAATATACTGATAAGCATCTAATGAAAAGACAATTATATCTAATGATTATTGTATCTTGAAAACAATTTATTACGAGAAATAAGCTACGGAGAAACAGTGCATTTAAGTATTTGAAGTTATTTTACCTACTTTAAAGAGTATCCCCGTGATTCTAATTCAACTTTTAGAATTACACTAGCTCTTTTGAATATAACATTGAATATATATTCAATTGTTTCTATAAGTTATCTTTTTCTACAGATACAAATACAAATAGTCTTCTGTCAGGGTTAAAAACAAATTAAAATATAATATTTTATATAAAGATATATTCTATCTATACAACACAAATAGTTAGAATATGTTTATAGATGAAATTGGAATAAAGATTAACATACACACATTCTCATAAGTTATATCTATATAAAAATGTATCTTTGTCTATTCGTTTTTATTAACAGAAAACTTTTTTTAATTAGTTTTCTATGGATTGTTGAATAAATATTGTGCACTAGAATGTGAGTGAAGACATTAATAAGGTCAACATTCACATCCTCACAAATACTGAGGCATAGCTTTATTACATTTCACAGAATTTACCGTCTTCTTACCTGATATTTGTCCAATGATCACCAAAATTATCCATATATTCAAATTACTAATTGATAACATTGTGAACAAATGAACTACTGTTAGTTTTCACTTTGTTCACTAATGATGACTAGTAAAAATAATAAAGTGAAGACTGTCAAAACAAAATATTTCTACCGATATACTCAATTGGAGAAGTAGAAATGAAGTGAAACTAACAATTTTGTTCTTCTATATATATATATCTTTCTTTCCACCCACTTTGACGTTTACCGACTTTTCTCTTTTTATTTACTTCAGAATCTATGACTTTGAATGTGACTTCAAAAATGGACAAAAAGTTCCGAGAAAAATAAGATGCATGTTCTGTGCAACAGTTTTCTATTTTTCCCCCATTATTTATCTTGTTCTCAGAATAGAATTCAGCAACAAACATTTATTTATTTTAGTGTCTATTAGAAAATTCAGCCAAAACATAATAACTTCAGATTTCTCGTTGAAATGGTTCATATGATGACAAACAAACATTTTTTGTAATTTAATCTTCTTCATTATAATGTGTATAATTTTTTAAGAGAAAAAAAAGAAATTTTTTTGAAAGACACGATGAAGTTTGATTTATTTTTCCCTACTTCAACTGGAAATAAAAAAGAATAAGATGAAGAAAAGATTTATTAGATATACTGATATAAGTTGAGATGCAATGAAGTTGTTACTTTATGGGAAGACTAAAGTTCTCATAATTTTTAGTTGTTTTAAAATTGTCCGATAAAAGAGATCCGAAAGAAAATAAAGTATGATTTTGCGAAAGTCAATAGAAATGAAACATTTTTTAAGACAAGAAAGTAAAGAATAATATTTATTCATTACTTTATTTTCTAGAATCTAAGAGAGTGAGGATGAGGGTGAGAGTGGATGTGAGGATGAGAGTGTGGATGTGTAGCATGAAAAAAGAATGGCTTTTATATCCACACCCACACCCACACCCACTCTAACACTCTGCTTGTTTTAAACCTTTATCATTCCAAAGATTTTGTATGTTTTTATATGTCGGGAAATCGTAACGAACATCTTCTCAGGGAAACCGTAAGAAAAAGTGGGTGCGAAATGTCTCTTTCTCTATATAAACAGCAAGTATCTACACCCACACCCTCTTGTTTTGGTTGTTCTTTGGCCAACTGTCGATCTTCCATACGCTGCTTTGTGGCAACATTCTGTTGATGCACTGTAATAATTACAGTAAAAATACCCAACACAAGTGGTAGAATAAGTGAGCTCGTAAACTTGAGACCATCACAAACGGTTACTCCACAAAACTCACATCGATCATGAGATTTCGGTTGTTCTTGTGCCATTATGATGTAGAACTTGAGTTAATTGCGTCTGTCAAAAAAAAAGAAGAATGAGCAACTGAAAGAGAAATAGTATATAGTATGATATTCCTTTTATTTAATTGTCTGATGATTGACATTAACAAGTGTCAAGTCTGAGTAACACGAGCACTGAATTAAATATAATGTTGTAACTCACGTCGAGATCAGACATAGTTTATTCGGAAGTCGTGCTAAGGATGTGAGTGTGGGTAATGAATGAGAAGAATACAAGCATCCTCACCCACCCACACCCAATGTTACGATCAGATAAAAAATAAATGATCTATAGGAATCACTTTTCTTCGAAACATAAAAAAAAGAATACTAATATCTATAAGTTTTGATTTAAACATTATTGTCAATAACACCACTGAAAAGATCGATGTTAAAATCGTGTAGTCACTGGTGATGTTGTTTTGATAATGGTAGCCGACATTGGTGGGATTTGTTTTCGAATCTTCATGATTTTCTTTTCATTGTATTCAAATATGGCAACTTGTTTCCAACTATCGATCAATGTTTGTGCACTATATTCAATACATTCTTGATCTTTCATTGAATCGAGTAGACCTCGATGTCTACCCATACACATTACTAATATTAATGAGATTTTGCTCGGTGTACTAAGTACAGTAGCAAGACTCGACGTTATATTTGAAAATCCTAATGAAAGTCCACAACCACCAAAAGCACTGATAACTTCGAATATAATACGAAAAACAGTAATTTGTGGATTACTTGGTATGACACGAGGTGCTTCAAAACAACAAATAAGAAAGACAACAATAAATAGCCATGTTCGTGTTGACGTAAGAAGACTAAATAAACTAAGAACAACATGTCGACAAAATATAATTAATAATAATTTCATTCGAAGAAGAGAAATATGAATATTATTTGTTAATTTATCATCAAATCCTTCTATTGATATATATCCACCAGCAGACATAGCACTCATACGACGTTGAACACGTCTCTCAGTTAATTCATTGATACTTGCTTCAGCTCGACTTTTTCTTACAAAATAATTTTTAGCTTCTGCTTTTGTTAATGAACCTTGTCGTAAAAGATAATGTTTCATTCGATTAACTGGTAAAAATATATCAACACTAGTCTGTCCATTACTATGTGATACTTTATTTTCAATTTGTTGTTGTGTTTGAAGAAGAACCCATTCCATTTCAAATGGTGTTTCATTGATTGTACATAACTAAAAACGAAAAAAAAAGATTATTTTCTTTAATACAACACATGCCTATATTAGAAATATACCATTTGAGGTTTGATGCCCATTAAAAGAACAAAGATAAGCAATGTTGCTGCAGAGAGATCAGTAATAGTAATAGTTGCATAACCTTAAATATAATAAATAATAATTTTTTATTTATTTTTCAAAATTAAAATTACCTCCAAAACGTGTATTGACTACTTGAAACATAAATATCATAAATTTTTCTCCTCCATCATACAAAGCTAACTTTTCATTATGAAAATCTAATATTAATGCTACTGTTACTCCAACTGAAATGAAAGAAGAACAATAAAAAAAAAGAAATGATTAATATGAGAATCAATTTACGTATTTGCATTAAAATAGTAACAGAGACATAAAGACGTGTTTGAACTGATGGAAAAATGACAGAGGACAAACGATGATTGTTCAATAAGATATAATCAAAAAAGATTTTGTATTTCCAACTATAAATAAAATAATTATTAATAATGAAAAAAATTATGAAAAGATTTACGGTGAGAAATGTTTAAGTAGAACAATAACACCACGAAGAATAGCTGGAAATAAAGATGTTCCAGATATGACAGCAAGCATAATGAAAATATTCATAAATATATCTGTAACAAATAAAGTCATACCATTATCCCTGAAAAAAGAAGAAAAGATTTTATTTTTATTTTCTATAAAATATATATCTTATTACCAAGGTGAAAGTCCATTTTGATTGAAACTGGTAATAGTAAGAATTAATGAAGCATAGAATGGATTCATTGTTTGATTTGCTTGTAATAAATCTATTGGATCATAATGATATTTTAACCAAAAACCCATAGCAAGAAATGAAATAAGATAAATCATAAAACAAGTTGAAAGAATGATTACAATCAACATGATATAAGCTCTAACACGAAGATGTTGTGAATTAGGCAATGATCGAAGTTGTCCATCTAACGTAGGATCCAATGTTTCCCGACGAAGAAACTGTCGAATTACTAATTCATTATTATCATTTGTTGATGACGATGATGATGATATTTCTTCATTATTATTTTTATCTCGTTTTGCTCGATAAATTTTAATTAAAACAGCTGGAATTGTACTTACAGTGATACCTAAAAAGAAAAATAATTAGGATTATTTTTTGATTCAAGAACTACTTGCCAGAAATCATTGTAAATATTAGAAGAAGAATTTGTGATGGTTGACTAAAATCAGCATAAGCAACTGTTTGTAATCCACATGTAAATACACATGTTGCACTAATAAACCAACAATCAACATAAGGTATTTGATATTCTTCAATTTTCCATACAATAGCACTACATATAAGTGTATTACAAAAGAATACAGAAAGATGAATATAAAAATAATGTCGCATTTGCCAATGATAATCATTCCATAATTTACGAAGTTTTGAACGCCAATCACTAACTGGTATAACAACATCTGCAGTTGTATTGATTACATCAATTTGTGCCTGAATAATATCACTTGGATTATCGATTGGAGATACGAAACCGTCTTCTCGAACAAAACCAGTATTATTCATTGATGAAAGAATATAGCTTCACTCTAACGTATCGAATATTTTCAACAAATGAATAAAATGAAGTTTAACCAGATATTTTGTTTGTATTTATTTTAACTTTCTTTCTTTTTAAATAACATATTTGATTACATTCTTTTTCGGCTTCCATCTATGCAAAATAAATATACAATCAAATTTCTTTCATGCTATAATGATAGATTAGAAAAATATTGGTTGAAAAGCAAAGTTCTTTTAATAACAAACGAATTAAATAAAATAGTTTATTATAGTATTTATGATGGACACTTTTTTAAATCGAGTAAAATAAATTGTTATTCTAGTTTCTTTGCGAAATTAAAGCATTCGATCAATAATCTGATAGGATAGAAGAATAATGTAATTTATTTTTATTTGATTGCACTTATCGGGTATGAAAGATGTGAATATAATTATTTGTTGTACTTTTTTTTCAAAGATGAAATTATATAAAAATACATTTGTCAATACTACTTTGACTTTCTTTATTTTGAACATTACCATAATCAAAATATTAATTTTCGATACAATCTGTCGTCACTCACTTAATTTACTCGATTAAAGAAGTCGAAATGAAATGAAACTAACGATTTTATTCTTCTATATATTTTTCTTTCTTTCCACCTATTCTTGTATTTACTTACTTGTTTCATTTAGTTTCCTTTAAAATCTATGACTTTGAATTTGACTTCATAAATGTACTTTACAATAGCTCTTTTTATGGAAGATTAAAATTGTCCGAAAAAAGAGATCCGGAAGTGAATAGAAATGAAACAGTATTTAAGACAAGAAAGTAAAGAACAATATTTATTCATTACTTTATTTTCTAAAATTCAAGAAATCATTAACGTTAGTTTGTTCCATTTTTTTTATTTGTGTCATTATTAAGTTTTATTTTCTCCTTTGTTTATATGCTTTTCTTCTTTTTTAAGTCATCAGCAATCAACTACGGACATACGAAATTGGCGTATGTATGAATTCTTGTAAGAGCATATATAATGTGAAAAACAACGGTATAAAGAAGTAATCAGGGACTTTTGTGAAAAATTGACTATACATGAAAACTATGAAGACATGTCGATCGTACCATAGACAAACTATATAATAATTTAATTCATTTTTTTATAATAATCATAAATGTATTTGTAATTTTATTTGAAGTGGTATTTCTGACATTTATATTATAAAAATTAAATATATTCACTAGGAGTTTCATCGCATCTTACTAACACATCTTGAAGTAAATTACCTTTTGCTTTCTTATCTCACACAGTTACAACGTGTGAAGAACTGGTCTCCTCCTTTTTTTCTATGTGCTGTGATGGAAAGATAAAAAAAAAAGAATAAGATTTACATCTACTATTTATTTCGCATATCACTATTATAACTGAGATGCAACTGTTAACTGTGTTTTATCTTGGAGTTCTCGGGTGGGCTAACATTATTGCAAGCCCAATAACTTACGATCAAGTTCGAGGCATACCTTACAAAGTATCGTATGATCACTGAGCGATCACATTTAATGGAAATCGTACTTTACTTATTGCGGGCACGATTCATTATCCACGAGCAACACCTGGCATGTGGCCCTATATAATGTCTATGGCAAAACAAAACGGTCTTAATACAGTACAAACCTATGTATTCTGGAATATACACGAACAAAAACGTGGCACCTATGATTTTAGTGGTCGCGCTAATTTAAGTCAATTTCTTCAAGATGCAGCTAACGCAGGATTGTTCGTTAATTTACGAATTGGTCCCTATGTATGTGCTGAATGGGACTATGGTGGTTTACCTGTCTGGCTAAACAATGTTCCTGGTATCGCATTTCGTTCAAACAATGAAGCATGGAAAAGAGAAATGAAACGATTCGTGTCAGACATCGTTACGTATGTTGATCCATTTCTTGCTAAAAATGGTGGACCAATAATTCTTGCTCAAATTGAAAATGAATACGATGGAGATGATATGGCCTATGTCGATTGGTGTGGTAGTTTGGTGACTAACGAGTTTGCCTCAACACAAATTCCCTGGATAATGTGTAATGGTCATGCAGCTAATTCGACGATTGAAACGTGCAACGGGTGTAACTGTTTTGATGACGGTTGGATGGATCAACATCGTCGTGATCATCCTGATCAACCGATGCTTTACACAGAAAACTGGGGCTGGTTTCAACCATGGGGTCAAGCATTAGGAATCCGAACACCTCAAGATCTTTCTTATTCAGCTGGTGAATGGTTTGCGGGCGGTGGTGCTTATCTATCGTACTATATGTGGCATGGCGGTAACCATTACGGACGAACTGGTGGATCAGGTCTGACGACTGCGTACTCAGATGACGTTCATCTCCGTGCCGATGGTACACCGAACGAGCCGAAATATACTCATTTAGGTCGTCTTCAACACCTTGTCACCGAACATGCACAAGTAATATTGAGTCAAGATTCTGTTCGATCGCCAGTACCCTACTGGGATGGAAAACAATGGGCAATAGGTACTCAGCAATTTATCTACTCATACCCTCCATCAGTTCATTTCCTTATCAACCAAGCTAAAGAACAACTATTTGTTCTTTTCAATAATCAGAATATTTCCATGTCCCTTCAGTCTGTTCAAATCTATGATTATAACCAGCATCTATTATGGAATAGTGCCAATGTGAGTAATATCAATAGTAATAACACGGTTATTGTACCTGTTGTCACTGGCCCACTTGATTGGCAATACTATGTAGAACCATCGCAGACTAACTTACCTAAAATTACCGCCGTGAATCCGCTGGAGCAACTAAATTTAACTAATGATGAAACGATCTATCTCTGGTATCGTCGTAATGTTTCACTTTCTCGACCATCTGCACGCACAATCGTTCAAGTACAAACACGTCGAGCAAATAGTTTACTTTTTTTCCTAGACGGACAGTTCTTGGGTAATTTTGATAACTCTGAACATGCACAAGGCACAATTACAGTTGATGTTCCACTCAATCTTTCACAGTTTCATCCAAATCAACAATATCTCTTTGAGATCTTTTCGGTTTCTCTTGGAATTGACAACTTTAATATCGGACCAGGTCATTTTGATTACAAAGGTATTGTGGGAAATGTATCGCTCGATGGGCAATCATTGATTGGCAACGAGACAAATGTTTGGGAACATCAAAAAGGTTTATTTGGTGAAGCTCGTCAGATTTATACTGAGCAAGGCTCAAAAACAGTTGAATGGAATCCGAAATGGACGACGGCTGTTAGCAAGTCCGTAACTTGGTTTCAGACTCGTTTTGATCTTAATCATCTTGCACGAGAAGATCTCAATGCTAATCCAGTTTTACTCGACGCAATTGGTCTCAATCGTGGCCATGCTTTTGTTAACGGAAACGATATTGGTCTCTACTGGTTGATTGAAGGTAGCTGTCAAAGTTCAGTACCATGTTGCTGTCTACAAGGTGAAATCCGTTGTGGACAACCAAGTCAACGTTACTATCATATTCCAGCTGATTGGTTGATGCCTAAGAACAATCTACTTACAGTTTTTGAAGACTTAGGTGCTTCATCTCCTGGATCTGTTAGCCTTGTACAACGCATTGTCATCACTTAAGCTCTATCATCACTTATTTTCCATGCTCAATTTTTTCATGAAAATAAATTAAAATAAATGGAACTATAATTGTTTTGAACGGTTTAGTGTAGTCACTATAGAATTTAGAAAGATTATGTTCATCGATCTTTTCTTTCAATTTTATCTTTCTTGTCGGTAGATAAATTTTTGCATGTGAAGAAGATTAATTGTTTTTACTTTGAGAGTGTGGGCGTGGGTGAGGATTTGTGTATGAATGCTGTTGAAAAAGAAAGCCACACCGTCGTTACATTCATTCAAGTTTTTTGCTTCTTTCTATACCGATTACAAGTGCATCGTTTGAAAGACTTTCATCACCGATAGAGATACAAAAAAAAGATAGTGAATGCAAGCATTGACATTTCGATAGTCTCATTCACAATTTTCCTCATGATAATGGCATACAATCAAGTGAACAATAGACTTGAATGTAAATGATAGACAAATTATGATAACACTTACAAGGCAGTACTACTTTAATAAAACTAAATGGATGGTAGCGACGTTTTTTACATTCATTTAATTGTATATTTTAAATTCAGCCATTATCAAGAATACAAAAGCTTTGACAAGTATTATAAATGAGTTGAAGGGTGTGAGTATGGATATATTGAATTTTGTCTTTACATCCACAGTCTCATATAGAATATGATATGACGCCATTTTGTTGTGTACCAGTAAGAAATAAGTATTCATAAATTTATTCGTAATTATTGCAAAAAGAAAATTGAGTCTTTTGATAGACAGTTACACTTGAATAAATCGTCCAATTAGATTAGTCGATGAGTAAGACGAAGAGAAAAATATCTCCATCGAACACATGTCATACTTTCTTTAGATTTTCTGTTTACCTGATGAAATTTCAACCGTTCTTTTTTACATGCGTCATTATATTTTTATTAAGAAAAATCAATCATTTACTGTTGATATGACATAAATGAAAACAAGAAAATTATCAAGTGAAATTCCAATGATCGTAAAAAGATCATTTCCAGAAGACGATAATGATGAACAAATCATTATTATTTGTTTTCATCCAAATAATGAAATCGAAGATCTGAAGAAGCAATTGAATCAAATGAATAATCATGTTGTTTTTCATACAGAATTGGTATCTCATATTGATATTTTTCAACAAGTACATTCAATCTTTATCTTTTACACAAAAACTGAAGACTTTAAATATTTATTTCATGAACAGTTAAATATAATTGGAGTTTATCATCGACTGGATTTTTTCTATTCAGCTCTTGAAGAACAAATTAATTTAATAGCTAAACAATTTTTTCAACGGGCATTTTATGATTAAACAAATTTCTTCAAAAGAGATTCATCAAAACAATCAAGTAATTTTCTTTGGATACAATTATTTCATGATACTATTTCATATTTTGCTCATGATTAACAAGCAAAAAAAGATATGATGAATATCTTTCGTCTTTATGCTGATGAAAAATCAGAATATCAATCTAATGATGCTATTCAATGGTATTTAAATCCTTCATGTCTTCAAAAATTAATAACTAAATCATTGCAAAGAAAAGATATCGATCAACTTTATCAATTAAGATATTTTCTTATTGATCTTATCGAAAATTTTGTTATTCATCAACAGGTGAAATTATCAAAACATGAATTAAAATATTTCAAACAAAAACAAGGTCAAATAATGTCAATGAAAAGATTTCTGTTAGTAAAGCAGGATATTTTATTATCACAACGATCGAATTTAGTTGATATTCACTTGGAAATTAAATATAATCTAAAAGAATATCAGAATAAAAACGAAGTTTTATTTGATTTGAATACAACATTTCAATTGAAAAATATTGAAGAAAATGATGAAAGATTTCTTATTCAATTAACTGCAGGATTCCCCCTAATAACGCCGAAAGTAAAAATGTCGAAAGTAAAAATACCGAAAGCTGAAAAATGTCGAAATAAATAATGACGAAAAAAAAATGTCGAACAATATAAATGCCGAAAATAGAAATATCGAAAATAAAAATGTCGAATAGTAGAAATATCAAGGTGTTGGTGTAGGTAAAGATACGGGTATCAGAGCAGAGTTAATATAGTAACCACACCCACACCCACATCCTCACCCTCACCCTCACCCTCACCCTCACCCTCACCCTCACCCTCACCCACACCCACACCCACACCCACACCCTCACCCTCACCCTCACCCACACCCTCACCC